TGTGATGTAAAATCCACCCCTGTATGAGCTGAAGAATGAGTGACCACACACATTCTGAACCACATTGTGTAATGGCATTGATCTGCAGCATTTCTAAAATAGCAATCAGTGGAAATTACATTCTTTGCCTGTATTGCAAATTCCCTTTTTGTCACAATATTCCTGTCATCTAAGAGTAGATACTAATGCAGCACTATATTATGCAAGCTTTGACACAGTTGTGATGTAAAATCCGCCCCCTGTATGAGCTGAAGAATGAGTGACCACACATTCTGAACCACATTGTGTAATGGCATTGATCTGCAGCATTTCTAAAAGAGCAATCAGTGGAAATTACATACTTTGCCTGTATTGCAAATTCCCCTTTTTGTCACAATATTCCTGTCATCTAAGAGTAGACACTAAATTATGCAAATTTGTGCAAGCTTTGACACAGTTGTGATGTAAAATCCGCCCCCTGTATGAGCTGAAGAATGAGTGACCACACATTCTGAACCACATGACTGTATTTCCACGAGCCATCCTAGCCTATTTACAACTTGAACCTTCGAAGATTGGAAAAGGGGTATATACAGCCTCAGGTATCGAAGAGCGAAGCGAATGCCAGACTAGAGTTCTTTCGCTGGCTAGATTTCGCATGGATATGACAGCCAGGCAGCGTGTAAAATAAGCCCGTGCCCTATCACGCAAGCGACACTGATACAGTCGAACTCTCTGCTCAGGAGTCTCACAGGCACGATGCGACGATGCATGATTGCGAGAGTACGGAGCTACACAGAGGCGTATACGGACATATATTATATTTACGCACGACATTATGACAGGCTGCCGGCGGCGTGTGAAAATTTTGAAATCCTTTCGGATAAAAAGAAGTGCGTAATCATGGAGCATGCGCAGTTGGATGACGTACGGTCTTAGATAAATATATTCTCCATTAGACAAAAACAAATGGGCAGGAAAAAAGGGAAATTATATAGAAATTCAGCGCCGTTCGTACCACTAGGTTAGCTCGCTCCCACTCGCCAAGCCTATCCCTTGGGCCTTCTCTCACTGTACTATACACCACATACATATATAAAACCTTCTTGAGTGGCATACACCATACACAAAAAGGGAGGATGAGTACGTAGAGAAAAACCTGCCAAAGTGCACTACAAATACACTGTACAGTGGTACTGCCCTCCTCAGGCTAAAAAATGATAAATGAGCTACTAAAAGAGTAAGAGCGGGGACTAAGTTAGTTTGGCGTTTCTCCGACACCAGATCTTGTATGATTCCTGGATCACTAGGTAGCTGACGCGAGTCAGAAACTGCGTAAGGACCCGCTTACCGATGTTGAGTTCATGCTTGAGATGTAAAAAGCCGACCTGGTCAACAATCCCTCTCGATCCCACTTGGAGGGTAATCAGGCGACCACTGTACCCAGCTGATCTGGCCCTTGCCATCATATCTTCATACTTCAGCTCTTTACGCTCTGCTGCATGGTGGAAGGAGGTCTCGAAGCATATAGTGAGCTCGATGAGCACAATCCTCCGCAGTGAGTCATCCCACCATACGATGTCCGGGCGTAGATCAGTGGCCACAATATGCTGAGGAAATGTGTAGGATCCCAGGTCAGCACACAGCTTGGCAGGTGGGGAAATATGGGCTGACAGGAGGGAAGCAATTTCCGCAAGAATGGCATCATGGCGGGTATTGAATCTTCGTCCATCACGGGCCGCTTTGCATGTGTTGAGGACATGAATCAGAGTCTGCCTCTCACCACACAGGGGACACAAGTCATCATTGCGCTTCTTCCAAAGGAAGAGATTTGCATTGTGCGGCAGGGTATCTACTGCACTGTTCAGAGCAAACTTCAAGTGCTCATCCAACGTGGCTTTTGCCCATATTCTCGCTCGTTCAGGGGATGAACAACGCGACATGTGACCCTGTTTCCCAAGTTGTTGGAGAGAGTTGAGGTGTCGGTCGTTGACATCTTCACTGACCAGCAGTTTAGTTGCTGCTGCCAGACTCCTCCTAGAAAAATCTGGATTGTGGACCATGACCTCCCTAACCTCCTTGCTGGCTTTAAACTTTGGTCTGGAGAGTGCGAGGTCTTGAAGCCAGTGAGTCCAGACCCTTCCTTACCCACGAGATGGGGAACTCCTCCACAGACAGCCGCCACATGAGACGTGGACTCACCCCTGATCTGTACAGCAGGAGCTTTTGCTTGCGGGTAAGAGGGCAGGCATCGACCTTGGCTAACATATCCTCGAACTTAGACGCAAGCTCAGCTCGGGACTTAGACTGGTCAGGTGGAACATCAATGGCCAGGCCCAGAAACATGACTCCATTGGGAGCATAGGGAACTTGCTGGTTGTTGAGGGAGACGATCTTCTTCCCAGTCGATGCCTGCAGGGCCAAACACGTACACTTCGGTAACTTCGCCTTCATCCCGGACCATACAGCCATCATTTCCAATAGGTGCTGACATGCAGCTGGAGAGTTGCCGATGAGACAGGTATCATCAGCATACTGGAGGATCAATTGGGACTGGGAGTACCTGAAGCACAGATCTCTCCTTGTCTGAAGTGTGTCCACCAGGGTGTTGATAACAGTATTGAAAATAACCACAGAGAGTGGATCACCCTGGTATGAATAGGAATAAGGGGGGTAGTCCATGAGGCAGCACTAACCTGGGCAACGAGACCGGTGTAGAAGGCCTTGACCAGGCTGATCAGGTTAGATGGCGCATGATAGTGTTTGAGGGAGTAAAGGATGAGGGAATGATGCACACTCCCATACGCATTAGCCAAATCAACCCAGCATACCGCCAGCGAGCAGTGCCTTCTCTTTGCATCACTCAGGGTCGTAGCTAGCTCTCTCCCTCTCTCCCTCTCTCTCTTCGTCTTAAGAGGAACAGCAGACAAAAATGACTTTTGTTTGCGGGAAAACTGTAAACTGTTGGGTGAGCAGTCTCTAGCAATCCCCACATGAACATGGACATGCGTGGAGATGTGTTGGATGCCATACAGTGGCTCACCCCTCTGTAGTGTGAATTTTTTCTTCTGTCAAGACTACTATGAGTGTTGGAAATGGGGGGAAGGGGGTCCTTCACCTGTTCTCTGGCTTCAATGTTTTTTTACAGAGTACTTCCTTTACTGTTAGGAACATCGAGAGGTTTTGGTCTGTATTGGCCAATGGGCAGGACACACTCCTAAGGTCTGTCAGCTTAGCTATTTACCCCCCTGCACCATCTCATCCACCCTATGCTGTGTTTCTCAGATCTTCGGCCTCTGGTTGACTCACTGGTACAAAATAGATTTTCCCAGATCCAGCCAGCACACAATAACCAATCACCCCTTAGCGCCTATATACTAGGGCATTTCCCCCATGAGGCCGGATGTGCGGTGGTGGGGTGTACGTGCGTGCGCGCATATGCGAAGAGCTCGCAATCACGTGCTGTTGTTACATATGTATATACTTCGCTAGCTGCATGGGTGTCGCTGAGTGAGTCAGTCAGAGAGAGAGTGAGAGAGAGATGGAGATAGAGAAGAGTCACAGTCACTGAGTCAGTCGAGAGACAGTGGAGAAAGATACGTACTGGAGAGGAGTAAGGCAGTAGTGTAAGGGATGGGCTCTCTATAGTTATGCTGTCAGTAGTATACCAAGTCATTTTGCGTGCAGCAAAAGTAGTTAACACTTCCAAACTTGATAGAGGGCTTCTGGTTCGGGCTTCTTTCCTCTATCATTTGTAGCTTATAGCCACTAGTATACCAAGTCATTTTGCATGCAGCAGAAGTACACTGTTAAAAATTGGGTGTTACGGCAACACCTTTTGGGGCGCCAGTGGGACTGTGCCAGTTTGGCACCCTTGGGGTGTTAGGATTGGTGTTAACCATCACCCATAAGAGTGTACAGGAACACCCTTTCTGGGGTAATGTACACCCATAAGAGTGTACAGGAACACCCTTTCTGGGGCAATGTACACCCATAAGAGTGTACAGGAACACCCTTTCTGGGGCAATGTACACCCATAAGAGTGTACAGGAACACCCTTTCTGGGGCAATGTACACCCATAAGAGTGTACAGGAACACCCTTTCTGGGGCAATGTACACCCATAAGAGTGTACAGGAACACCCTTTCTGGGGCAATGTACACCCATAAGAGTGTACAGGAACACCCTTTCTGGGGCAATGTACACCCATAAGAGTGTACAGGAACACCCTTTCTGGGGCAATGTACACCCATAAGAGTGTACAGGAACACCCTTTCTGGGGCAATGTACACCCATAAGAGTGCTATTTAGCCTTTCTATTGATGCTACAATACACCCTTTGGGGTGTTCATAAACATGCATTAGGTGCTGCTTCAATTCTTCATAGGGTGTTCGACAACACGCAGTTGGTGCTCTAGAGCGCTGTTTATTGTTGCAGTAGCGCCATTGCTCTTACTGTTCAAGTGACAAAAGTATTTCACAGTAAAAGAGCATGAGATACAAAGAACAATGATACAATATAGAGCATAAGCTATTAAAAAAAAGACTTGTTTAATATTATCTAATGATGCTAGAGTCCTTTTGTCAGAAGTAACCACAGAGATGTAACCATGGTTTTCAGTGATTTTCTTCACAGCCTCATCAAGGTCAGGCTCATTCTATAACAACAGTTCGTCCATAGTTATGTACATGATATTATATATAATGTTGACTTACAGAAAACCGATGCATGATGCACAAGTGATATTTTTGCTTGAGTAGCAAGCAAAAGCTCAGCTCAGTAAGCTCCAAAGAATGCAGCAGCTGTAATTCTGGGAAGTGGGAAGAAAGATGTATGCATGCACCTCCAATACCACTATACACACTGGCATATAAATTATATTTTCACACTCACTTGACCAACTTGAAATATGAGAAGGAAGTGTACAGTACCATGTATGCTCACCATTATGCATCAGAAGGAAATGAATTGACTTCTTCCTGCTGCTTTGAAAGGGCATCCCTATTGGTTTGTGACGCAAAGATATAATTTTACCGATCTTGGCAGATATCAATAAATCCTGTCAATTTTCTTCAGCAATTTTTATATACCACTCCTTACTCATTGTTAATTCTTTTGAAAATACCGATTGCATGACTCACTTTCAGCCCTACCGTTCTGATCTTCCCTCCCCTCGACTGCCATACTGGTACTGGAAGTAACAAAGTTATACATGCTGGCCGCTCGTACTCTCTCCTTTCTCAATTCCCTCACGCGTCCGTCTGGAGAAAACGTCAGGAACACAAGCACTAACCCAGGCTGTAGTACCCATCGCTGGTGCTGCTGCTGCTGGCTGTGATACTGGGCTCGGAGTAGCTGGAGTCTAAAACAATTCAGTGCCGCCTTAGCAGCTACGTAGCTATGATCAGTCCTTACGTTTTCTTCGACGGGGTGACGCTACATCGAATCTTCTATCGCGGCCTTCGTAGCCATGGTATTCGTCTGATGGTGGTCTTGGGCTCCAGAAAGCCTTTAAATACTGTAGCTAGAGTCGCCAAAAACACAGCCATAGAGCTAGAGATAGTCTACTTCTTGCATTTGAAAATGAGCGCGAACATGATCACACTAACCACCGGTGTACGTGGGCGTGCAGGATGGTAAAGGTCATGACCTTCTACGCGCATGCGCAGTGGGTGTGACTCGTCTGTTTACTCTCATTCTCATTTAAACTTTTTACAGTGACTATGATGCACAATGTCTCTAAAGACATCTTCATGGTATTCACTTTCCTTTTGAGGATCAAATTTTATCTCCATCATCAATTCTTCTTAATTAATCACTTTCTTTTTCTTGCACCTACCGGTGTGTGAAACAATAACAATAATAAAACAGTGAAGAGAATGTGATATGGGATGATGAAATTTTCTGACATTGCGTCCTATGAACAAACAACAATGCACAAGGCATATAAAGGAAGTTGTGATATAGGTGCTGGGTCAGTGTAGGATTACACCCTTAGGTGTTGTGGTGAGCACTAGAATGTGCCATGGTTTACTCTACACCCCAAGAGTGTTTGTAAACACCTACTTAAGCGTAATCAACACTCTTGAGGTGCTCCAATACACCCTGCCAGTTTTGGTACAGAAAATGGGGTGTTAGATAACACCATATTTTTAACAGTGTAGCTTCCAAACTTGATGGGGGGCTTCTTTCCTCTATCCATAATGACTGTATGAGCACCCCAAGGCTGTGTTTGTAGCGTATAGCCACCAAGAGCTAACGAGAGTATCCCACTGCCAGTATTGGAGGGCGCAGCAGTAGGCTTGCGCCAAACACAATAACATGAATGACGCACGCAGGATAGCTACGGCTTTATGTAGCTAGAGACGACAAAAGCCGCCGGGTCTTGTTTTTATTCTCGAGTTCCGCGCTGCAACTCTAGGTTTTGCGCTCTCCGCCGCCTAGCACCGCTTCAACACAGTGCAACCTCAACTGCTAACCTTTTAGCCAGCGTAGACTCCGGAGAATCACAATGCCAGACCTTGTCTTTGTCACCCCCAGGATAATACATTTAGCATTTAGGTAGTCAAATTGTAGAGCTAGCTAATGGACTGCCAGCATTAGAAGGCGCAGAAGTAGGCTTGCGCCAAACACTATAACATGAATGACACACGCAGGATAGCTACGGGTTTATGTAGAGATCCGACACAAAAGCCACCGGGTCTTGTTTTTATTCTCGAGTTCCGCGCTGCAACTCTACCTTTTGCGCTCTCCGCCGCTTCAACACAGTGTAGCCTCGACTGCTAACCTTTTTCATCCGGTGCCAGCGTAGACTCCGGAAAACGGTTCAACCAAAATCACACGGTGCGAGACCACGTCTTTGTCATCCTAGTCTCGTACCCAGACCCCACCCTCTCTCTCTCTCTCTCTCTCTCTCTCTCTCTCTCTCTCTCTCGAGGTCTGGTAACAGTTGAGCGTTTTCTTGGTTGTGCTGAATCAGCAGCCTTGTGATAATTACATAACCACACGCAAGTTATGCTCGCGAACACGCAGGGTGCACGGAGCTTTGGTCTACGTGACGTTTAGCGATCTGATTGGCTTACCGAAAACTAAGACTGCTGGATCAGCACAACCAAGAAATCGCTAAACTATCACAGAGAGAGAGAGAGACTACTGTTGTGGACGCATACTCCCGCAACACTGATCATCTTCACCACCATCAGCCAGTGTTTACCGCGTGGAGTCAACCGGTATATTTTGGTCTACTGCTTTGCTCATCTAAATAGCCTGCCGAGCCAAGCACGCATCTCTGCCAGCAATGACTACCACCCGAGGGAAGTGCTCGAAATGCGGACGGTGCTTCAAGCGCCTAGACACGTACCTACGAGTCAGCGCTACCTGCCGCGATGTCGGCGGAAGTCCAGAACGTCAGGCCGCCCCGCCCTCCAACACTATCCCCTCCTCTTCCGTGGCGTCTAATTTGAACCTGTCAGGCAGGTGAGGAGTCAATGTCACAAGCAGTTTGCAAGGTATGCGAGGGAACTGTTTGACAATGGACCATCTAGCAATGTCACACCTAATTTTGATGCCGAGAAGGCTCATCACTTCTTCTCCACTGTCTACCAGTCTGGTCCCAAGAGCTTTGTCAAACCAGTCTGGATGACTTCTCCAACGCCACCTGAGGTGGAAATACTGCCTCTGAGATCACGAGGATCATCAAGAAGATGAAATCTTCCTCGTCTCCGTCTCCATTTGGTACGTGGTCTTCAAGAGATGCCCGGCCCTTATTCCTGCACTGGTCGACATCTTCAATCTCTGTTGGGCCCAATCATCAGTGCCCCATCAATGGAAGACAGCAGCAATCAGGCTAATTGGAAAGGGATCAGCTGCTGAGGATGCCACTAATCCTAGTAACTTCAGGCCAATTGCCCTCACGCCATGTATTGGCAAGGTTTTCACCACTCTCCTACGAAACCGATGGCTGAAGTTCATGCGACTGAACAAGTACTTTGACACGTTACTGCAGAAGGCTTTCATGCCTTCCATCCCTGGGTGTACTGGGCACCAGCTGAAACTCAGTTCAATCCACAGCGAGGCACAGAGCAAGCACAAGGCCTTGGCAGTGTGTTGGCTGGACATTGCTAATGCCTATGGCAGTGTCCATCACTCACTGATTCAGTTTTCCCTCCAACACTACCGTGCTCCGCCCCAGTTCCTCTCCATTCTCCAGGCTCTCTACAGTGGTCTCGAGGCCACAGTCATCACTGAGATTTGGGAGACTCCTCTCGTCTCTCTACAGAAGGGGGTGTACCAAGGCGACCCTCTGTCAGTAGTCATCTTCAACACGGTGATGAACACTCTTGTTGACACCATCTCCACAACGGTCGACATTGGGTACCAGTTTTCAGGCTCCCTCCGCCGCGTCAATATGATGCAGTATGCAGATGACACTTGTCTTGTGGCCAACTCCCCAGCCTCCTGCCAATACTTGTTGTCAAAGGTGGGAGACTGGCTGGACTGGACGGGGATGTCGGCAAAGGTGCCCAAGTACCAGTGTATCTCGTTGGAGGGTTCCACTGGAAAGCTGAATGATCCACATCTCCACCTCAGTGGTGCTTCCTTCACCAAGGATCCAGTCCGTTTTCTGGGCTTGAATGTTCAGGTCACCAGCCACCATGTCTCTCCCAGATCTAGCATCATCAACAGACTCCAGGACATGCTGACAGCAGTGGACAAGGCACCTGTGACAAGGCGTCAGAAGCTGCGCTTATACTCAGCTGGGGTGTGTCCTCGTCTGTCCTAGCCTCTCCTGACACATGAGTTCCCCATCTCTTGGGTAGAGAGGGAGCTTGACTCACTGGCCACACGTCACATCAAGCACTGGGCTGGCCTCACTAAGTCAGCCAGCACAGCGATCCTCTATCTACATCACTCAATGGGTGGCCTCAATCTCCCCCGCCTGTCAACTGTCTACAAGAAGTTGCAGGTGTCTTGCCAGACCCAGCTCCTGACATAGAGAGATGGATGTGTACGTTTTCTGGCGGACAGAAATCTGAGGCGTGAGCAGAGTCTGTCCAGAAAGACGTTTCGGCCTGCTACACTGGCAAGAGAGGTGCTGGAGGCGAGGCCAGATGGGGAAAGGAGAGCACTGACCAAAGCAGCCAAGACTCTTGTTGCTGAGGACACTAACACTGGTCTTCTCAACCACTGGCAAAGTTTGGAGCGGCAGGGGCACATGAGTCGGTGTATGGACCAGGAATGTGCTAGTGTGTGGTCAGCGGTGGTGAAGGCCCTGCCCGAGGAGCAAATGAAGTTTTCCCTTAACGCTGCCCTTGACATGCTGCCACACAACCACAACCTCCACCTATGGAAGAAGAAGTCAAGCCCAGCCTGCGCACTCTGCGGTGAGAACCAGACTCTTCTCCACGTCCTTAACAACTGCTGCTCAGCAATGAACCTATGCCGTTACAATGATCGCCATGACCTTGTCCTGCAGGAGATTGCATCTGCCATCAAACCGTACCTCCCACCAACAACATGCATGTCAGTGGACATTAGCGATGGGTACAAGTTCCCTCCACGTCCTTAACAACTGCTGCTCAGCAATGAACCTACGCTGTTACAATGATCGCCATGACCTTGTCCTGCAGGAGATTGCATCTGCCATCAAACCGTACCTCCCACCAACAACATCCATGTCAGTGGACATTAGTGATGGGTACAAGTGCCCATGTAACATTGTGCCCACTGACTTGAGACCAGACATTGTGTTGTGGGACTCCAGCTTCAGGTCTGTGTGCTTGGCAGAACTGACTGTCTGTTTTGAGACGAACTTCGACGATGCTGCAGACAGAAAGACTGCCAAGTACGCAGACTTGGTCCAACAGGCAAGGGGGAATGGCTACAGGGCTACTCTTCTCACGCTCCAAGTTGGCTCTAGGAGAGTACCCCATTACCAGAGTTTTGCAGCTCTGGCCCGAGTCCTGGATATGACCAACAGGGACCTCATGACTCCCATCACCAACACTACCAAGGCAGCCATACAGGGGCCATTCAAGATCTGGTGTTCACGAAACAAAACATGTTAGTTTGTGTTCTTTCTCTGTTTTGTAGTCTAGTGTTTGTGTCTATTGTTTGGTTTGTATCGTGCCTGTGGGCCCATGTGATCTAGACGACGAGGATCATGGTACTTAGCCACTCCTCATTTGTATTTGTACCCATGCAAATGCAATGAAGACGTGACACACGAGAGAGAGAGAGAGAGAGAGAGAGAGAGAGAGAGAGAGGGAGGGTGGGGTCTGGGTATGAGACTATTGTCATTACGGCACGCATGCGCAGCGAGGGTTACGGTATACTTGTCCGTAAGGGTAGAAAGTGCGGGTATTAGCTTTCCACGCCACCTCTATTCTCAGACTTCACAAACTTGATGAGTGTCACGCAAGAGACGCCACTGAAAACCATGGGTGTCCGGGCCAGCTAGGTGGCTGTTAGTGCATAGCTGATCCAATCATAGTACGAGGTTCCTGATTTCTCATATGAACCTCGTGGGCGTGTGCTAACAAAAGTGACATGAAAACATGATACCTTGTTTTCACGTACATTTTCAACAACGCCCATTTGTTATTTTCATGTTGAACATGTATTGCAGTAGAAGATGGCTTCTGATTATGATAAGTGATAGCTAAATGATTTTTACTTTAGGTGGATGTGGGTGGATAGTGTACATAAATCATTACAAGGCTTATCACTAAGTATGGTAGTACTTTGTAATAGGGATGGGCATGGTACCTAGCATCGGCTACGATAGAGAGTTTTGTCCTTCTTCAGATTCAACTCACGTAACGAAATAACATACTTATAGTAATGAAATTTTGTAACAATGTAGATATCCGTCACCCAACAAGACTGGTCATACTTATTTGTTTGAAACATCATTGTCAACAACACCAGCACACATGGAGATGAAACTTGCGTATCACATCGTTTCCATGAGGACAACATGCATTTTTCTCTATACGTAGTAGTATATAAAAATGAGTGGAGACCCTGCGAATTAAAAAAAAAGAGGCAAGGGATGGAAAGGGAGACAAGATAGGGATGGTTAATGGATAGATTTTAGCACGCTGACACCCCCAACCACATCACACTGCAATCCCTGTAATTATTGTTGCCTAGGTGAAGTATTGCCATACAGCTGGCATTTTGTGGCTTGCCTCTTACAGTTACGAAGATACTTGGAGAAAAGATAAAAAGGGGCGATGCCCTTGCTGCATTTCCAGCCATAGCACAGCATGCACACCAAAGCGCATGATTATCACGCCGTTACAAGTGCGCGCTGCGCAAAATAGGCAAATGCGCCATGCGCGGTCCTAGTTCTTGAACCTGGGGATAACATTACTCTGAGGATATGTAAACTCTACCCACTTATGCAGCTAGAGGGAGGAGTGAGGTATGTCGACAGGGAATTGCTTGGTACATCAACTGGTAGTGCTTTATGCCCATGTTTACTGTACACATCAATGCTCGCACATGTTCCTTTGTGGCGAGGGTTTACACTTTAGTGATTAACCCTCGGCGCATATGCACAGTGAGGGTTACAGTACTTGGTCTGTGTGTGTGTCTGTTTACAGCTATTCTGGGACTACCGGTTATGAGGTGTCCAAAAAGTGATACACTGGATTAATCTATGTAAAACCAAGGAAGCAAATTAGCACTGGCTTACTTTGCACACTGTGGCGGCGTCAAAAGTTGAACGGAGGACGAGCATCGAGTCCCACATGCTATTTTCCCGTGTCAGACTCTCGTTGAGCTAGCAAGAGACCACGAAATCAACCACATACTATAATAGCCGAGCCCATCAATTAGCGGTACCACGCATGTGTATTGCAGCATGGGTTCGTATATATTATGCATGCTTATTCTAGTGTGCTTTTCATTTTCATTTTGTGGTGATGCTGGTATGATGAGTTTCCTTTTCACACATTTAGGGACTGCGAGATGTCAGAGGTAAGTTTTTGTGACCATTGCTCTTCTCCTGCCATTATGCCTCTCATTCTTTTTCACTATAGCTCTCTGGGAGTACCAAGAAGCAGGTAAATATATTATGACTAACTCTCAACCGGGAATGTGAAACACACCCTCAATTTTTCACCCATGTTGCGCAGCGAGGGTTACAGTACTTGGTCTGTGTATGTGTGTGTGTCCGTCTGTCTGTCTGTCGGCAGCTATTCTAGCACTACGAGGTGACCTATGAACGATACCAACAGTTTCAAAACTACGAGAGCATTGCAATAAAATAGCGACTTTCCTGAAACGACTGTGTTCAAGAGCGAAAAAGTGAATATACCAATGAGCGATGAGTTATGCACTGTGGAGGGCACAAAGTTACTCATTATCCAGTCCAGCATTGATCAAAACGATGCTCACTGATGCTGCCAGCCCATGTTAAAACAAGAAACGGACATCGACCACGTGGCGTGGCCCAGCCCATCAATTAGCAGTGATACATACTGAGCACTGCGCTGATGGTTTGCATGTCCTTTGGGATATATGAAGCATGGTCAATTGTGAGCACACTGAGACCCCCGAGCCCATCACACAATCCCTCCTTGGTGAAGCGTATGAGACATAATATGTGACCATGCACGCGGAAATGTAGTATAAGTCAGCAAAATTGATTTTTGGTAAGAAGTCTAAACAGCGGGTACCGCGCGAGTCAGACTTTTTTCACGGAGAAGAACCTACATCTATCTAGAAGACAGCTATATACTTTAGAGCGTCGAAACCCGCTCGCCACGGCCGTGGCGGCGCCTCGAAGTTGGTTATGTCGATCTCCACGCGCGCGTGAACGGGCGGAAATTACACGGAGAAATTTGGCCCGTCAAAAAAGCAACTGCCTAACAAGGAGCTGCGGTTACCAACTATGCTAAAAGCATACCTGCTAGCTTTGTCTTCTATGTTTCCACGGGAGATAGCCTTGTTTCACAACCGTGTGCGAGCGGCTTTAGGGGGCGTGTCAATGCACGACGTGTAACGGAGCGCATAAGCGGAAAAATTTCTCCACGTACAAAAATTTCCGGATCTCGAAGGTCTGACTCCTGCGTACAAAAGCAGCTATATCTCCAGAATCGAACGGGCTATATATCCGAACCAAATTTTGAACGAGCACGGCAATAGGGTAGACAATGCGGAATGCGGTGAAATGTGGAGAAAAAATACAACTTATACTACATTTCCGCGTGCACGGTCAAATATATTTAAGCAGGAGCTATTATAAAAAGAGCTGACAACAATGATGTTGTACTATACTAGGCAAAGTGTCATTTACTGTGTAGTCTGCACCATGTGGAGTCTGTATAGAATTTAAGAGTGCTGCACCAGGCAAAAATAAAGGGATTGTGTGATGGCCTCGGGAGTGTCAGTATGCTCACAATAACCATGCTTCATATATCGCATCCCCATTTTGTCTCTTTTCCCATCCCTATATTCTTCTTTTTTACAACCCATGTAATGATGTCATTGCAGTTGGCAAGAAGACGATTTCTATCTTTGCGCTGCCAACGCCTACATATGGGGGCTGGCAGGAGGTCACGGAAACGACATTTGAAATGTAAGTTTAAGCGTTCACATTTTCCCCTTACGATTGGCCAAAACTGCATAGGTGTTGCAATTGCATGGCTAAAACACTAGGTGATTAACCCTTGGCGTGCATGCACAGCAAAGGATACAGTACTTGGTCTGGTGTCTTCGTGTGTGTGTCTGTTCCCACGTTTTCTGCCATTAGGCGCAACAAGACTGCCAAAAATCTATGGCGGCGTTACTTTTAAAACTGGTGAGTTTTGTAAAAGTACTGCTTATGGCGTAACAAAGTGAACAAGCCAATAAGCAAATTAGTGTTTACGTCGACTGTTTCACGCGCATCAGAAGTCATAACCTAAGCGCGAGTATTGAGTCCCGCGATACCTAAAACGCTATCTATTAGTGTAGCTAGTCCATGAGGCTAGCTTCCAATTCTTATGACATCCGAATATACTACAGCTAATGTAGCATTTCCCCCAGACATGTCTCTTGTTTTGGTGCATTTTACACAATATTCTGCATTCTACTGCTATTGTTGAGGATAGCTATGTGCTGATATACACAGTTGATGTGGTATATGCCCGCAAAAGCATGATAAGACTGTGACATGCTTAACCTTGGTCGAATGCCCCAAGGGGGGTGGACCCAAGCCACCCCTACCAGTACCAGGTCAAATGTTTGCACTAAGGTACGGAGAGCGGGCCTGTGATTAGCCAATGCCCTACAGGGCCACAACCCTGTCTGCCAGGCCTTCAGGTTTACTGGAGTCTACTAGCGTGGAAGAGCTGTGGTGGCTGGACACTAACCACCTTAATGCAACGACCTTTCCAGAGTCGTACCAGTAGTAATCTAGCTGTGATTGATCACACACTTGGCCTTTGGTATTTCATCCCGAGGGAAGGACCTCGTCAGTCATGAGGGCTCACCCTGAGATTAATGAAACACTCCCACACATTTTCGAATATTTCTGTGCAGACACAAATCCTTTTGATAGGATGTCTCTCCTTTGATACTACCGTGTCGTGTTTGTTCTGTCTTGTGTTATTTGTGATATCACTACCACTGTGCACCGCAGCTTGTGCATGTAGAACCAGTCTTACGTAGTAAGCTCATCAACCCTCGGCGTGCATGTGCAGCGAGGGTTATGGTACTTGGTTTGTGAGTGTGTGTGTATTGTCTGTCCGTTTGTCTGTTACCACGTTTTCTGCGACACAAAACAGTGATACCAACGGGTTCATCACTACTCTGCAGAGTACAAAATTACTGACGGCCAACGGCCAATTTCCGAGCGATTTATAAGATTGGCCGCACGAAGTTAAGAACGGCCAGTCATTGCGTCCGTGCAGCTCTCTCGCGTACGTGACGTGTGTACAGAGAAGAATCGGGTGACATCGATCGTTTTTTTGTGCAAGAAGTAGTCCCTCCTCTTTTTTTTCACCTCTGCATTAATTCACATGTTCGAAAGTTTGTGGGAGTGTTTCATTAATCTCAGGGTGAGCCCTCATGACTGACGAGGTCCTTCCCTCGGGATGAAATACCAAAGGCCAAGTGTGTGATCAATCACAGCTAGATTACTACTGGTACGATTCTGGATAGGTCGTTGCATTAAGGTGGTTACACATAGTGTCCAGCCACCACAGTCTATCAAGTATATAGTACATACAATTTTCAGCTTTCGTGAAATAATATAATTTTCCTAGTTATGCTCAATGCTTTTTTTTATCTTCTTAGTGAGTGAACGGCTGGAAAAGGAACAGGTTAAGATCTCAACTGCTATTAGAGACGGGAATTTGAAACCTTCAGGGCTCACAGTTAACGATGCGAGAGCAGTAATAACAACTGTTATAAAACATGCGGAGTCCGCCCTAGGGTGGCTGAGAAGCCTACCGAAGATGGTAGTACAGAAGACAGATGAAAAAATTGTTCTGGTGTCATACAAGTTTCTGCAGCTGGCATACAGTACAACCCTACTGACATCAGAACTGTCGGCATATCCGCTCCATGTGGCACTTTTCACTGGTAAAAGAGAGTAGGAATCTTGCATGGAATGTTATAGCATGCGGCCAGGCATGTGCTGAACCGTTGCTTAAAGTGCCCTGCATTCACCTGCACGTACTGTACACTCCGGTAATATTTGTTGTGTGATTGTGCCATAATTTTCTGATACTGATATAGGTCTGAAGGAGATTGATGATAAAATTTTCTATACCCTCGGGGCTACGGTCAATAGAACCCTCACCAAGGGCCATGACTTTGAAACAGATATATGCGCGTTCAGGTATATACAACAAGAGTTGGCAGTTGGTTGAGCCGCTTCTGTAACTAATCACTATATGTACAGAGATGGGCATGGTACCTAGCTTCATAGATATGTGGGGCTATGAAGAGAGTTTTGTTTTTCTTCTTCGACTCAAAAAACTCAAAAATGGATATGGATATTTGTAACCCGGAGAGACTGGCATTTTTTGTGAACAATGCGTTCACTGTAAGCAACAATAAATATAATGGGCACAGATGTGTTACTGCAAATCACAAATGGCGAGAGCGATGCGAATATATTTAGAGCTAGGTCATTTAAAATGAGCAATCTGATTGGTTGATGTGCAGACCTCTAAATCATGTAGAGAAAATATTCTGGACTCTAAATTTGCCACATGATAAATAAAACATTGATTATTGTATACCAGCATTTGTGGTGTACGGACACACTTCTGTGCCCAGACCCCTCCTTCACTTTTACGTCGGGTCTGGGTACCCGAGACTACTAGCATGGTGCTTTGACTATTACTTATTGCACTGGTTAAGACCTAAGGATCATCATATTGTTTGCAGAGAGAAGAATGATAGAGGCGAAGATTCGTCGCTAAATAAAAGGTATTGATAACTAAGGACTATGCAGAAAGTTTCTTAGTTGTTTCTGTAACTTAACTTTTGAGTTACGTGTAGGTTAGGTACCTGAGCGGAAGAACTACAGATGCTGAGTACACAGGTCACAGATAATGCAATAGTGACCGAGGTGCAGACGAGGTTACTATTGCATCATCCAAGACCGACGAGGCAGCTGAATCGAGGGGACTTTCTGCGGGGTGCCTAACCAGCTTAGACGATGGACCAGCGGTGCCTAACCAGCTTAGATGATTTAATCTGGCTGCCAAGTTTTCATGATAGTTGGCAGTGCTCTTCCTAGCACACCGATTCTGGTTTTGCACCATAGACTGCTTCCTGGGACAGCTGAGCTATCTACATACATAGCTTCGTTGCTAGCTCACTCGTGGGTATAAAATACCCACCGCTCCAAGTGGGACTGCTGCAACAAGGGCCTTTGAAATTCTTGAGCTAAGCACCACGAGCACTATCAGGTGACCTGAAACTTGCTGATCTGCTGTTAAATGGGCACTAGGGTCACATCTCTATGCTGCCACTTAAGAGCTAATGCTCATTAGTTTATGCATAGATTTCTAAGTGGAGCCCAGTGCCTGCTGGTAGTTCTTGAAACCTGAGTACATTAATGTATGCCACTCTCTAATGCAAACCTACATAACTACCATCTAGGCATTAGCTCTCAATACTGCCGTTTCGTTGATGTGATCATATTGATAAAATCAGAGAACATGAAAATTGCCCAGAAAACATGGAGGCATTTCTGAATCTGACTGTATAATAGCCCAGAATGGCTCACCACGTAGCAACGTGCATTTAATCAGAGCTTTCACACAGTGTGTAGCTAACCACTGCTAAATCTGACTTCCACACATTTTATTTTTGATGCAGAGGGAAGAGTGAGGAAAGAGAAGAGGAAGTGTTATTTTTAGGAAGAATAGATGAAAGGGTACAAAACTGATTCATGGTTTTTCTGCACCTGTGTACCGCCACATAACACAATTGCTATTCACAGCATACAGTTTATGGTGATGGGAATGTTATCTAGTACACATTAAGCCCTATATAGTCATGAAGCATGCACATGAGTGAGTGTATCGCTAATGACTCGCTCGCTACCGTAGAGCATTGTTAACTCTCGGTGCACATGCGCAGCCCCCCCCAGAATGTCTGGCCCTGCGAAACTATTATGTTAAGGTCAAACACCGCATGTGGCACTTATAACCATCATCACAACTCTTGCATGTATATACCATGAGCTGCTAAAGACAAAGTAGTCTGTCATGTCTATGTATGTTCTTCTTTCCAACCTCAGAGAGTTTTTGAAGTGAAAATCCTAATGGAAGTGAAACTTTGTGTTGGGCCACTAGAGGCCAATCTTCCGGCCATAGCAGAGCTGCTACTGCAAGTGCTGTACACCCTTATGGGGGTTTCTGGGGCCCATGTTGGTGACAGTTGTGTGGGCTGCCTCTGCGACACAAAAGAGTATCATTATTTTTGGTAAGTTTGAGAGGTTGGTCAGCGTGTGTATATCTGCTGTCACACAAAACTATTTTTAATACTGGGTCTCCTGACATGGGTATATATCTCAGTTGAAACCTCTGACCAAGACCAACACTTTCTCAAAGTTTAAGTGGAATCCCTTTTGTAGCGCCCTGTTAAAAACTCCCTGCATAAAAAAAAAACGGGTATAGACGGGTCAGGTGGAATTGCCAAGTTGTACTCTGACCCAAGCAAACACGCTATATTGCACACTCCCACTTTGTCTGGGCAACACCAGGACCCTATCCTGGAGTAGCAAAGCATGCTCTAAGCCTCAGCAAAGGCCTACGACATCACCAGTTGGCAAACATATGCCAATTTCGCCACCAACATTTCGCCACTAAAGCCATGCTGCGGTGTTGACCGTGAACATGAACATTCAATGGACAAACGGTAGTACGGCATTTTGACGGAAATGGATGAATGGTGCAACGTTTACTTCCCAGAATGCACAACAGTGAGATTTGGCAGGCATATAATAGGGATTTTGTCGCCACACATGCGACCTGATCTGTAAAAAAAAACCACTCACATTTTGAAAGGCTCTTGACGAGAGCAGCAGTCTCTCCAGTGAAGTGCAGCAGTTCAACTCTGCATGGGATAGAACAACTTTAGCATGCCGGCTGCATTAGCCATTGTCCCAATAGTTTTTACATACGGAAGAATTCAATACGAGATAATTACATCCATGCCCGTTTCCAGGGTACACTATATGGCACAACAGTATGCTATCTAGCAAAACCACCCGCTATTGCCAAATGCCAAAACAGCGGCACCTCAAACATACACAGTTCGATAGAGAAAAGTTCAAAATTCTTTTGTAGAGGGCACCATTCGCAGTGTAAAAAATGACCTCATTCCATTTCGACCCAAAGATGGCGCTGTAGCGTATCCCGGAAGTGAAACATGCAGGTAATTATCGCCTGTTGCTAAGGTGATGTTATGCAGAACAACATCAGCTACAGGGCTGTGGTTAGGGAGCAGGGAGTTGTATCAGGTGTGAATTATCAAGAGAATCCTTTTGGGGCAGAGAGTTGTATCAGGTGTGTGAATATCAACTTATCACGGACCAGTTTTCAGTCCAGCCTCGAACAGACCATGACTGAGCGAACCACCATCTCCAGAGCGCGTTCATATGCAAACCTCTAGCACTGTCAGATTTCTCCGGGTGGATGGTAGTTGTCCCCTGCTCTCCTCTGGCAATGCCAACATAAACCGGCTGACGCACGACACAGTGAGGCAGTGACACAGTCGTATATAGTTGGCTCTTTGCAGCACTTTTCCTTCAGCGGCAACGACGGCAAGGGGTTTTAGGAAATCTCCGCCTTCATTTGTTGTAAAAGTATAACGTACTGAGCTATATAGACAAAATCAGAGAATTGTTCGTGAATAGAAAGAAGGGCACCCTTAGGGGAAACAGCTGTAACAAGCCTATTCTACTGAGTTTGGACATTTCAACGGCGTTAAATAGACAGGGAAAATACTACTGACCATTTATCAGTTCACTGCTCTACGTTTTTCCACACATGTGCCACTCCCACTATTCCTAACGACTATAGTACACTATCCTGCAAGTATCAAAGTGTGCCATGACATAACCGAATTAGGAATGCCCCAAGTGTGTGACTTGTTTTGCAACTTCCGACGTTTTTTAGTCACCAACAACTTTTAACACATACTGTTCTCTGTTCCAGGTTCTACCTCGATGGAGAGAAGTTGGTGTGCAAAGGATACAGCAACATTCTTATGAATAACCCTCCAACAGAGACAGAGTATAACAATCATGTACAGTTTTTTAAACAGTGTCATGAAAACAATATTGTGAGTTTCCGTGCGCCAGACATACCTCAGTTCAGAAACGCTGCTAAATAATCAGACGATCAGCATCACACAGGTAAAATACTTCTTCCTTCAGTGTCAGCAGGTATATATACACATGCTGCATAACAAGAGCTATAACCCACAGCTCCTACTAGCCAATGAGTTCAGTAATGTGACGTTGGACAAGCTATATTATAACTGCTGGCCGTTTCGTAACTTTGACAAATTCACTCCTCGAGGCAGAATGCTTGGCGATGCTTTCCCAGTCAGGTACGTGTAAGACGCTGACATGCCTTATCCTGGCATGTGGACCACTTCTGAATCTTCTTATGAGGACATTGGTAGAAGAAAGACTGGAGAAGTGGGTGAGTGTTATAGGAGGGACGACTGTGAAGGACAAGAGGTCCAACTCCAGTGAGACCACGAGTAACGAATGCTTGCTGGCTCGAAGGAAGTGAGAATATGGGAAGAGAGAGAGAAAGCTACAATGCTAAACGTCTTTTCAACTTGGTGCAGCCCCACACTACGTATACACATTATGATAGGGTCACTTTCAATGCATCCACACAGTGTCCCTTATTCAGAGCTTTCATAGCCCTCTCTCTCTCCTCGACCTGCGCTCAATGGAGTCTCTTTACACACACACGTATATACAATGTCCTAATGTATGTTATGTGCATACATGGGTGCTGAAATAAGAAAAACATTATATACACTAAGAAAGTGTCGTCATTTCAGTGGTGTCTACGTACATCCTGTGTGCCTTTTTAATCCCTTCCTCACTCTTTTGGTGAGTTTCTCCTCGGCGAGATCATTCATTCCTGGCAGTTGTGTCCCACTCTCTCAGCATCCACTCAACGGTTAGATAGTATGAGTGTCTGGATGCTGTGTTCTCTTACTAGCACCATTCCTATAGGAAGAGAGAGGGAAGGCAGTACACAAAATCCATAACACATAGAAAATGGGGGAGCACTCATTATGAACGTGTATCAAGATGGAATGACTATATATACTAGGTGGTTGATGGCAACCCCCCCCCCTCCCCCCCACACACACACCTACTATTTCTAGGTAGACAACTGCCTTCCAAAATGATTTATCACACATTAATGGGACAAACTTCATTATGCATGCATTTCGGAGTAACGGACAACTCTCGAGCTCTGCGAATGGTGTATGACCTTTGACCTTCATGCAATACGTAATCGTTAGACTAAATTTTATGGGCGTGTGGAAACGTCATAGCAAGTGCACGTGTGCCTGTACACATATCAGATATCATGAGACTAAGACCAGTTACTTTGCCATTAAACACACAGGTACAGTCTCCACCTAAGTCATCCACAGACAATAGGTGTCCTGAGGTAACTCCCCCCCCCCAACCCTACCTACCTAGAAAAAGCTATGGATCACCCTTTTTGGCAGAAGGCTGCCTTCCAAATGAAAGTGCAAACCCTCGGCGAACTGCGCATGTGCGGTACCACTAATTGATGGGCTGGGCTTTTTATGCCTTTACTCGTGGTATCCCGCTAGTAGCTCGCGGAGAGTCTGACACGGGCTAGCTACAGTAGTAAATAGCATCCGGGAGTCGATACATGCCCTTCGTTGTGACTTGTGTGCCTTCAAGACACACAGAGCGAACGGATGCGGTCGGGGTAAGTCTGTGCTAATTTACATATTGGCTTGTTCAATTGGTTTTCACGCCATAACTTTAAAACACAGTAGTTTTTTTAAATCAACCCAGTGTAGCACTGAACCCGATCATATCGCGATTTCGTGCGCGCGGTGGCAGAAAACGTGGTAACAGACAGACAGACAGACAGACAGACTTACGGGACAACTACCGTAACCCTCGCTGCGCATGCGCGCCGATACACGCCCTGCGTTGCATGCATCTTCTAGTGCCTCCGAGGTACACAGAGCACACGGATCGATCATGGTGAGTAAGTAGGTCGTATCGTTTGTGAGACGAACAGACGTTCGAGGAGTGAGATGTAGAGTAACAGACAAACGACCCAACTACTGTACCCTCGATGCGCATGTGTACAGCTGAGGGCCCCCACTTTTTATAGCCTGGCACAAACACTACGGTTCATAAGATCAAAGTTATGGGCCAACCAGGCATGCTCAGATCACTGCTTCCCTCTCACCACCGGCTTGTTTCTGGTGGGTAGGAAGCATGAGGCCTTCCCACAGGTCTGTGGAGTGTGAGACAGAGTATGAACATGTACCAGACCCAACATGAAAGAAAACTCAATCCTAAAGCTCCCTTTCAGTCTCCCCCCTCGGCTCCTGATGCTTACTACCACTCTCCTCCCCCCGCCTCCCAATACTCACTACCATTCTCCCCCCTCGGCTTCCGATGCTCAATCCCCTTGCCTAGCCTCCCTTGCAGAGCTTCGTGTGGCAGTCTTCCATCAGATCACCATAGTTTGTACCTGATGCATGAATAATGCTGGCACACCGACGATTTGAATTGAACTGCACATGCGCACAATTTTTACCGGATAGGATACTGTAGCCGACCTTTGACTCCTATAGGCCGCCGGGGTGGATGGGGAGCCACAATCCTTATGCAATCAGTTGTATATACACCTCAGTAATCAGGACACCTGAGAGCAGGACACTTCACTAATCAGGACACATGAGAGCAGGACACTTCACGACACCTGAGAGCATGACACCTCACTAATCAGGAGACCCCTACTAATCAGGACACCCCACTAATCAGTTCATTGACAACAATAATATCAGAGCATGGAGAATTTAGGGAGGGAGTCAGGTGTTCTTTTGCGACAATCTAATGCCTACTTAGTGTGGTAGGAACTGGCCGACGGCGATAGACCTTTCTGTCACAAAACTGTGCATACAATATTATCTGTACTGATGAGGGAAACTACCCCTGCATACGCAAAATGCAAGATATGGCACTGCATAGCTACTAGTAGTGATTGTAGCATATCTAGTTTTAGCCTAGCCTTTCACAGTTTGGAATATACAAGCCTCCATATCTCATCAGTCAGAAAGGGGGGGAAATGAACCTGCAGAATATGGACATAAAATCGCTTACAAAACTGCATTTATATGCTATGACGTCAGTGAGTATAATTATGTAGAAAAAATGTATATGTACTAAATATAGAGGTGTCTTCTTTGAAGCTGCAGATATCAAACGACACTGGCTTAAAAAAAACCATGCACAAGAGAACTAAAATATAACACTAACAGACAGAATGGACACAATCTTAGTACACTGAGATAGCAGTGGATTTGTATATATACACACTGTATTATGAAATTTTTTAGCTCACCAGTATATAGCAATGTTGAGCAGCTTGTGATACACGAGATAGAGGCTGCAAAACCTCACAAGTTTTGTCTCTCTCGGCATCAGTAGAAGAGAAAGAAGGGGGGAAATGAGGAAGGAGAGAGAAGGCAAAGATAGGCTTGCAATGTATATTATGTTGGTGGTGGTTTTTATTTATTTCTCTATCTATCTATCTATACCTGTGGCTGGTATGCTATGAACTATAATTTCATACATGTGCATAATGTATCTATACAACAAATCGTATGGAGAGGACCAAACCAGTATATATGTGTGTGGAACAAAGTGAGAGAAAAGAGAAGAAGAGAAGGGATATAGAGGAGAGAGAACCTTACCTCTATGATTTCCTAGCATCACACCATGAGGGGGTTACAAACAGTGTTCCGTGAGTGATTCCATAACTGCCCTGCTCCCGTGACTGAGAAAGAAAGAGAGGAGGGGATTGTTTTAGCTCTTGAAACATTGACTGGACATACAATGTACACATAAAAATGTAGCCTCTGTTGTAGAAAAACTGAAGCCTACACCCTCTCCTCTTTTCCTCATCTTTTTTACTCCCTCTCTCCTCTTTCACACACGTGTAGAATGGGAAGACGAGTCACGCCACATTCACAACACATGTCAACACAATCTATTGGGCCCCCCAGAATTAGGTCAAACCAATAATAGACAGGTGTGTAATCACTATTTTATCCCTCACATTGCGTCAGAATCCATCCCATACAACCTAGAATACAAAAATATATGCGCGCTGCTCAAACGCAGGCAATTTACACTGCCGCAATGCGATTGTGATGGTAATAACCACGCCCTTTATTAACCCTCGGCGCGCATGCGCAGCGAGGGTTACGGTAGTTTGTGTGTGTGTCTGTCTGTCTGTCTGTCTGTCTGTCTGTCTTTCTGTCTGTTACTCTCAATCTCACTTCTCGGGTGTTTGTTGGTCTCACAAAGGATACGACCTACTTAACGGACAATGAATGTCAGAACGTTCTAACGGTTTTCTCTGAACTGCTCCGTTGCAAAGCTAGAGCGCGAAAAAGCCAATATGCAAATACACAACGGACGGGATGGCTTACCACAGTCGGATCGATCCGCGTGCTCTGCGTACTTCGGAGGCACCAGAAGATCTCGCATACTATCTAGTAGTGTAGTTAGCCCGCGTCAGACTCTGCGCGAGCTGGCAAGAGACCACGAGTAAACATGTATCCCATAATTCTTCACGAAATGTGTGAGACTGCCAAGCAAGAAATGAAAGATTAAAAAAAAGAGCACGAGCTCGGGTCATGGTAACGGTTGCAGATGGTACGTGGCAAAGGCGTGGCTGGCATAGCAAAAATGCCAAATTCACCATCAGGAACTACCTAAACGGGACTCTCCTCTATTACCATCATCTCTGCCAGAAAGGCAGTGACAATGTTATAGAGGAAAAGTTGTACAAGGGCACGTCCAAATCTGCCGTAGGGTATGCTGCCCGCCTGACATTTCGTAGGGCCAAAGAGGAGGGAATGCAGGTTGCCGTCCACTGGCAGGACGCTGACTCCTCCTCTGCCAAGGCAGTCAGTGATGTGTTTCCTGATGCGGAAATAATGATTTGTGGCGGACATGCTGGGCATGCCCACAAAAAAATTCTTGAATTGTGTCACAAGATGAAAAAGGTGTCCAAGACGATGGTGGACAAGTACAAAGATAGCTTTCCTGCTGTGGGTGAGCTCCGCTGTAAATGTGAGGGGGGCAACCACAGTGCTACATGCGGGTGCTTGAATGCACCTTTTAAGCGCACACAAATTTCACGTCAATTTTGATGGAGGCTCAGTCACAAGAGGAATATGTGAAATGCCTGGAAGCACTGCCTAAACATGCACGTGACATTCATGAGTGGGAGGGAGGAAAGTGTGACTTCCACCCACTTCGGGTCTGCATGTGCAAAAAGTGTAGTGACAAAGAACAAATTGAGTCAGTGTGAGGGAAAACCATACAAATCCAGAATGAAGCTGGATTGTGATTTTCATGCACTGTTGTATGAGATTGAATGTACAGAGAAAGCTGCACAGGTCAGCAAACTGGTTCACCCCATCCCCAAACGTGGCCACTCTAATGCAGTCGAAGCCTCTCACAACGTATTGATTAGGTTCCGGTCCACTTGGAGAGGCTTCACTACCAACTCTCCACTAATCTTGGGTTGCTCCAAGCCTACCTGACCTACACGCATGCAAAGCTAGGTACTAGTTATCACTGGCTCCCGGAGTTGTACCGACGCATGAAGCTTCCCGTTTTTGAAGGCATGGTTGAAGCACTACAGAAGCACAATGCACGGAGGAAGAGAGAATTAGAGTTGGCCAGGACCACTCCCAAGAAGAAACGGAGAATAGAACTGAAAAAGAAGCGTGTCAAGGAAGGGATAAAGCGCATCAAGTGGTCAAAAGAAACACGGCCACGATACATACTTTGACGGTAGTGGTGATAGTGACGTTGAAGAAATGGTGTGTGACTCTGGTGATGGGGTGAACCAGAACAAAGGAAAAGGGAAAGGCAGTGGTCGTGGGCAAGGATAAACGCCAAGGGGAAGGGGAAACTGTGCTG